AGTTAGATTTTTTTTTTTCAAATTTAATTGTTGAGAAAAGTGGATTTTTATTTTGAACCGCACCAAATCATTTTTTGGAGTCGTTTTCGCTTCGATTTTGGCAGTTCGAAACAGAAACGGTTCGGTTCGAAGTCCTGCTTTAATAACTACAACGTTTCAGTGTAAACTGGTTAATATCGTTAAAATTCTAAAAAATAATATAAATATCGCTAAAAAGTCGCATTAAATTAAAACCGTAAAAGTCGGTAGCAAAAAAAAAATATTAGAAATCAATGCGATTTTTTACCCGCTCAAAGCTTGCACTTATTTCACTAAAATTGTATAAGCTTGATAACTGCATACCCAAAATATTAAAAAAAAAATTTGGTTAAAAAGCTCCAAATTTAGATATGAGTTTGAAAGTGTGATTTATACAGGTTTTGTTAAAACATGAACCATATTTCATAAAAATATATCAACAAATTTTAGCTTGAAAACTGTAACTTTTAAGCAAAAAACAAAACCGACTTCAATTCTCATATAAAAATTTAATTTTTCCGAATTTCTTCATGGTCTAATGATCGGATTTAAACCAAATTAGTACAGGACCACGTGTGAGGTAACAACCTTCCTTTAAAAAAAGAATTACGGTTAACGTGGTCCAATAGTATGCGGCAACTTACATACAACAAGAAAAAAAAGTATTCCGACGAATTTATACACCTTCTCCTTTTTGTGAATTCGGTTAAAAAATTAAGACATACAAAATAGAACAAACTGTCGTCTCCTTCTCATGGGATTCAGTTAAAAAACTTTCCGGGCTTTTCGATGAGATGAGATGAGATTCGATGGCGGATTCAAAATCTATTATACGAGCCAGGGTTGACTCCAGTGCCTAAGTCCTAAGCCCTTCTTCAATTAGTGTAGTTGGAAGTCGATAGAAATGTCTATAGCGCAATGCACGATGTATCCAGGGAATCAAGATTTTCAGCTACCATTCCAAATTCTTGCAGAATCAAATAGCATTAGTTTTTCAGAACTTAAGATCTTCAATTAAGCTCTTCATGCTGGGAATTCGGGTTAAATTTGGCTGCATAAACACCATTTCATGAATTCGAATCTCGATACTTTTCATGAGTACTGAGTAGTATCGGGAACTCGATACTTTTTGACAAGTACTGAGTAAATATCGCGAATACCAAATAATATCGCAGTTTTAAAAACTTAAAAAAAAAAAAATCATATAAAAAATTTCGTTCTCTCTATTACAAAATGTTTGAAAATTACCCGATAAACATTGCGATGAACGAAAATTATCATCGATATCCAATATGAATGTCGTGAAAAGTAACATAACGCTCATTTACTTCAACACTGTCATAGCAAAAAAAAAAAACCCCTATAAAAACGTCTTTAAAGTTTTGTACTTACATATACTCCCATAGCAAAAATTAATACATCTTTTGCGCTCATGATCTACGGGTAATCAGTACAGCCATGCAATTTTTATACACCATAGAAGAAGGGGTAGCGGTCATTCGAACATTGGGCTTGGTTAAAAATTCTTAAATAATTGGAGAGCGAATCTTTTGCTTCACCTTCTATAATGAATGGGGTAAGAGGATGGTCTTCGACACCATTCTAAAAGAAACTTTTTAATGAAAGAAAGCTTCTCTTTCCTTTAGAGAATGGACTTCACCACATTTATTTCTCATTTTTTGCATTTACATTTCATTTTAAAAGTAAAGTGGTTTATAAATACATATATGCGTCAAATATTAAATATTTGCTCTTAAAACTTATAGCTCTTTGCTATAAACGATTAATTTACACCAGTGGTCGGCATACTAACACATTAACACGATTCAATAAGTGAGACTGTGTGCTTTATATACACTGCTCAGCTGCCGCTCTTCGGATGCGTGTGAAACACACATGTGCTCAGAGAGCGCTCAGTGAGCTATGGCCTGCCGATCAACGCTTTATGGTCCCGTCAGAATGGGTACTTTGTGTACGTTCCGCTTAAGGATGAAACTGACAGTTGAGTATACTGTGTGTGGCTGCATAGAGTGTCATATTGGTAACCCTTGCGTCGACGGACCCAAGGAACGTTGGTCAACACTAAACTTCTGACGCATGTAAGTCCGTCACTGCTGACTGTTGTATAACCCCGCGTTTACATAAGACAATACCAATGAGAAGATGCACATAATTAACACATTGTTTGAGTAAAGTAGGCATCCAGACAATAAACTGTCTTCGAAAAGCCAGAGACAGTAATGAAGACATCAAGTGAAGTGGGAATATATTAGTAAAAAAAATGTGAATGCTTTGCTATTGTATCTGAAAAATTGACTTGTGTAAACCCCATGTACGCGGCCATAAGGAACAGCTCATTTTTGTTTGCAGACGCAACACCTTCATTGTGGCGTATCTCTATGGTACGTACGTCACATCCTTCACATACTTTTCCGTTATTGACGTACAAGTACCCATTCTGACGGGCCTATTACACTTATAGAAGTAAACTTACTGCAATTTTATTTCAAAACTACTTTTAGAAGAGCTTGCTAGATCACATTTCAACTACTTAAAGCAGTTTCTATTTAATTTACAAATAGGAAGAGGCCATAAAAACAAAGCAATCTGATTTTTGTTTAGTTTTCGCGTTTGAAAGTGCGAGGATTATCGATACTTTTTTGCAAATATGAGTACTAGCATCGATTCTTCTTTAGAGTATTCTATACGAGTACTAGTATCGATACTTTTCTAAAAACTTCTATCACTAGTTATGATGTTTTTAGATTAATAACCATGAGTGGCATAACCAGGATTTTAAACACTGGATAAGTTATGTGGAATTGTTCAAATATAAAATAAATTCAAATAGAATAAATTAAAAAAATATATTAAAACCAATAAATCACAACCCTACTGTTTAGTTTCTAGCCAGTGTGTTGCTCCTTTTTCAAAGCACTTTATTTCATGAATTCGCGAACTATGCATAAACGGGACCATTTTTGAATTCATGAAATGAATTCTGTCGCATAAACGTAGTATCTGGCTCGTAAAAAACGTTTCTCTGATAACTAATTGGAGAACAAAAAAGTGCTAGCGGTCTATATTTTCCATCTGTTTGCTCTAAAATTATAGTCACCAAAGAAAATATCTTTTCTTCTTTCAGTTCACGTTGAATGTTCATACAATATCTTTTTTCTTCTCAATGAACATATGTACATACATTTTTCAAATTGTTAAAGAAAACCACAAAACAAATTTTTCGACTATAGGCGTATAGCAAGGGAGGATTCTACGTGCATTTCTAAGCAAGTTTTCCAAAGAAAAATTGGTATAAAATCAATTTGGATTTTGCCAAATTGGGAAAATAGGTTTCCTTTACTTATTATTTTACTTTAGTGTCGTAAAGAAGTGCTCAAAAGAGTTTATTTGAGAGTTGGAAAATACCTATCCACTGATACCTCATAAGTCTAAAACGGAATAGCTTTGGCCCAGTTATTCAAGTTTTTCTTAACCCAATCTTTAAAACAAAGTTAAAAAACATCATCAAAATCGCATTATTGCGATTCCGTTGAAAAGATTTTTAAATATTTTTATGCAGATTTTTTAAACTTAAACTGTTTTTTCATCTGAGGGTATTTTTTTCAAAAACTTATTTGTCACATCGGTCCAACTCACGTAAATCTTAATATTTTTCCGAAATATTTTGGTGGACGTCTTCAAATATAATAAATTTTGTAATCCAAACTGCAACTCTTTTTGGTGATGCAGTCTAATGTTTGTATTGTATTTTAGTTGTATGTAACCATTTTTTAAAGGATAAGTCAAATATACGTTTTATTTATTTTTTTTATTTTAACACGTCAGAAAATGTGTAAATTTTCATTGCTGCGTCCTCTGGCGGATGTCTTAGGAAAAAGATAAGTCCAGAAATAGATTCCTTGGACCAAAACCCTTTTTTAGCATGCTTTTATACAAAATTTAAGCACTTTTTACGACACTACAGCAAAATGCTAAGAGCATAAAAGAAACCTGTTTACGCAACTTGGCAAACTTCAAATTGATGGTTTCTTCGGCAAATTTCCTTAGAGTTACACGAACATAGAATCCTCCTATGCTATACGCCTATAGTAAAAAAAAAAATACCCGTTATATACACACTTTCTTCCCGGGACCGAACATAACGTTATTGACGAAAACTGTCATTGACAAATTCACTATGAAGGAAATGTTCAACAACTATCGACTGATCGATTTGTTTTTTTCCACCGAGAATAAAACTTGAACATAAATTTTTATTTATAAGATTTGCGCAAAATTAAACAATAACAATTATTTTTGATTTTTCTCTAAATAATCTGCACCTGACAGTTATTTTTAATTTTTATATTATATATCTTAGATAGCAGTTATTGAAGACTTTTATTTATAAAAGTCATTAATATAAACTAGTCACCGACTTTTATTTTTTAAGTTATACGAATCAAAGTCATTATCATTTTTCGCAGTTAAGAAGGTGTTGGAGAACAAGCTCATACAAGTGACTTATAAATATGATTCAAAAAAATAAAAGTCAGATACTGATTTATATTGACGATTTTTAAAAGTAAAAATCACTGACTGATTTTTATTTATGACTTTTATTAATAAAAGTCTTCAATAACTGTTATGTGACATTTAACTTAAAAATAAAAAAACAGCTCTTATTTGCAGATTGTTTAGATAGAAATCAAAAATAATTGTTATTTTGGATTTATAAAATAAAAATCAGAAATAATTGTTATAAGGAATAATTAAATAAAACTAAAAAATAACTGTTAAAGATCGATTTTTTTAATAAAAGCTGTAACTGTTACGGTCGCTGTTTTTTCCTTTATATAGCATAATTACTAATTCAACAAAACCTTCAGTCAATAACCGGAATTTTATTTCAAGCTCTTTTACTTTTGAATGCCTCAACGCCAAAAACAAATAATGATAAAAACTAGAAAATGTTTACTCACGTTTTACACTCAGAACTGCTTGGTGCGCGTAATTCCAACATTTGTGATGTTTTTGTCTTAATCAAGAAAAATGAATTCTTATCGGCAGCTTCTTGGCGTACCAGCGTCTCCGAATCGATGCTCATTATAGGGCTGACTGGCTTATTGTTGACTTCTGTGTTGCGTGTAGCATGCAAATATTTCAAAGAATATTTATCGTCCTGCATTCACAAAAAGTAGAAAATGTCGGTATGAAATATTTGATAAATTCACGAAAATTTAAAATCGCACCTGTTTGGTTAACAACACAATCATATCTTCAAAGAGTAGACCGTGCAATTGTATGCTGGGATTCTTCTTCATTGTCAAGCTACCATCGTGTATGAGACGGTACTGCGTTAAGTCCAAATTCTGTAATAACAAAAATTATAAATTCTAAGTGCCTTGCATAGCTCAACGAAAAAACTGCGCTTTACCTTAAATTCATCCTTATCGAAGGTTGACTTGTCTAATTTCTTCTGAATGTTTTGCAATCTATGAAAAGAAAGAACCAAACAAATATTTGTATGAAATTATGTTAAATTACAAAGAGTTCGTATTAATTTTCTCACTTGTGCGCATCTTCAGCGGTCTTCACAGCCTGATTTACATCAACGAGTATCTTCTTCGACGACTCCAGCGCACGCTGTATGGCCTCGGCTTCGGTTGTATTCTCGGGCACCACGCGTATGGTCACCTTGTACAGATTCTCGAAGAGCAGCGGATACTTGGTAAGACGCTGCAGCACCGCCGGCAGCAGATCTTTCAACTGTAGACGTCGGCATGCCTTATGCGATTCGGCCTTACTCAATAGCTTCTGCAACTGTTCATCCTTGCGTCGCTTCTCTTTGAGCGCTTCCAAAGCGATTTGTTGGCGCGCACAAAATTGTGCCGCATATTGGCACAGCTCATCGCCCGACTTGTCATAAAACATGGTGGACAGCAGATCGCCGATGTGTGTGACCACATGATTGTGTTCGAGGCGACGCTGCTTCAGTTGTTGTTCGAAGGTCGAGTGTATTTCACGTAGTGAAAGTAAAGCGGGCGGGAAGAGCAGCATTAAGTGTTCTTGGGTGAGCAGATTGCTCTCTTGCAGCGGTAAGAGGAAGAGACGCTCCAATAGCTTGAGAATGCGCACATGACTGCGCTCGGTTTGGTAAATTTCTGTGGCGCAAGAAAAATATAGAAAAAATGGCATAGATAAAAAGTTGAAACTTTCGCAAACCACTCACCATTTATAATCTCCTGTCGCTTCTTTTCTGCATCGGTGAGCGCAGCTAATATTTCGGCTGTAACATTTGAACTCCAATCGGCCTCGTTGAGATCATCGTCATCGTCACTCTCGAAATTCCATTGTCGCTGACCGGGTTGGCCGCTGCCTACGCCACCAAAACTGCTGCCCCAAAAGCTGGTGTTCATCGAGCTGCCACCAATGCTTCCATGAAACGAATCCTGATGGCTGTGCTGGTGCATGTGATGATGCGGTGTAGTGTGGTGGGCGTGCATGCTGTGATGATGTGTAATTGGATGGCCGCTGGCGGTGGCGGTTGCACCACCAGCGCCGCCCATTTGTTCCATTGAGGTGCTGGGACTCTCAGAGCCGCCACCCGAGGAAAGACTAGAATTGGAACTTGCGGTGTAATTGGAATTGGAAAGACCAACATCGGTTTGCTCATCGCTGAGGAGGGAGAGAGGAAGGAAAGAGAAAATGGAATATACTTTTTATATATGTACATACATGCATTTTGTAAGTGATTATAAAATTTAATAACAAATATCTACATGGAATAATGTATATAAAGCGATGCAAATATTTCTACCATCGATGATCAGAATTTGCCTAGGCATAGTAGATCAAATTGCAATATATATATGTATGTACATAAGTTGTACAATTAACTTAAGTCAACATAAGCACAACGATAAAATGCTAATCCTAAGTCGAATTTTTTTAAAAACATTTCGCTACCTATAGGTGAAAATGTGCCAAGTCCACCTTTTTTCAAAATTTAGCTTTCGATGCAGAATGACAGATAATGCGTACATCGATTTTAGGTAACGATTTGATGTAAAGTTTTTAGTGTTTTGTATATTTCGTTTTATTTTTGTTTAAATTTTATTTCAGTTTTTTCTACTTTGTTAAATTTCAAATTTTTTTAATTTTCTAATTTTTATTTTATAGTATTATTTTATATTATTTAATTTAACTTTTTATTTTATTTTGTTTTATATTTTTATTTCACTTTATTTTATTTTTATTTGTTAATAATGTTTTATTTAAAGTTTTTATTTTATTTCGTTTTATTTTATTTTATCTTATTGAATTTAATGTTATTTGTTTTAAATGACTTGATTTTATTTTTTCTACTTTGTTAAATTTTGAATTTTGCGTCAACTTTTATATTATTGTTTTATTTATATTATTCAATTTTATTTTGTTTTATATTTCTATTTTTCTTTATTTATTTATATTTATTAATAATGTTTTTTTATGTTTTTCATTGTTTTGATTTATTCTATTTTATCTAATTCTATTATTTTTATTAAATTTTATTTTATTGAAGTTTATTTTTATTTAAAATTTCTTTGGTTTATTTATTTTAAATTTTGGTTTTGTTTTATTTTATTTTATCTTACTCAATTTATTTAGTATAATATTTTTTAGTTTTGCTATAATTTTTATCTTATTGTGCTCAAAGTTGTATTTCATTTTACTTTATATTTTATGTATTTATTTTTAAGTTTGTTCTGAGCTCATTTCGGTTTATTTATTTCGATTTGAGAAGTGTTTACTTTTTTGTCTATTTATTTTTTATTTAGTTTAATTTAATTTAAATTATTTTAATTTTAATTCAATTACATTTTATTTTATTTTAATTAATATACTTTTTATTATGTTTTTTTTTGTTTTATTGTATTATATTCCAAACTGAATTTATGGTATAATATTTTTATTTTATTCTATTCTAAATATTTTTAATTTACAATAAGGTAAAGTTCTCAATTTAACATTTTACCAGAGTTGATATTTTAAGAATGTTTTTTTTTTGGAATGTTATAGAATTGATTATGCTGCAAATAAATACAAATACAAATTCTTTATGGTCAAGTAAAAATAAAGAAAATTTGATTAATTAGATAATACAGTTTTGAAAAAATATGTCCGTATTTTTTTTTAAGAAATATTTATATTTTTTTCTTTTAACTAGTATATTCTCAATACGATTATGCTTTTATTAAGGAAAAATATTTTTCAATAGGAAAAAAATACATATTTCTAACTAATAAAACATCAAAACTAAAATCTAGTTTAATAAAAATGTAATCCTTAATAGTTTTTTGTTCTGCGGTACGCACACTAATACTCGACCTTTTAATTTTTGCATGTTTTGGCACGCATATAGGTATTCTACACTTACTTGTCATAGTGATATCCGAGTATTTCCTTAAAGCTTTTGCTCCGCGTATAACGTATTTTACTCTTCATTTTGTTGGCGTTTTTTCACTTTGCACTGTTCTCATTGATTTTTTATGTTATTAAATGTTAATATCTCGCACAAAATTATCTCAAATTTTAGTTTTCAATTAAAATCTGCGTCAGTTTTTGCATAGTTTTTCGCTACTACAATCAACTTGGCTTTAGCGAAATCTGATATTTTCAATGTTTTAAGATAAATATGTAGATATTTAGATTAGCATGTTAAAATCTTCAAAATATTTTTTTTTTCAAAACGATTTTTTTTTTCAAACCGATTTTTTCTGCCTATACAATTTTATCAACTGCACAAAAAACGAATTACTTAAATTTTGCAAATTGCTCCTTTATTATTACACCTTACGCTGCTGCCTGTGCGACCGTAAACGCAAGCCTGTTGCTAACAATATTCGATAAGATACTGCCACAAAAAGGCGAACGCTTGAAGCTGTCACTGGCTGTTCGATCGAATGAAGGATTCAAAGCCACATAGCCAAGTCAATGACGCTACTGCTATACTGAGCCTGTTGCTTGCTGCTGCTGCTGCTGTGCGCACTTGTCAGCAGCAAAACTGACTCTAACAATTTACCGTGAATTTATGCTTGATAAAATTGTAAGAGTTGCCGCAGGTGGTAACCCGGTGACCCCGCGCCGTTTGCGACAGACAGCTGTCGTCGCCGGCTTGCCATGCACCAACCCAAGCGCACGCCGGCACACGAGCAGACACACTCAAAAAGGCACACATGCCCACATACATATGAGCTTACATATCGACACTTGCCTGTACCTTTCCCCGACTCCCACTTCGACTCACGACTCTGACCCTGTCGCTGTCTCTGCCGCTGTGCAATAATAATGTCGGTAACAAATGTAATGCAAACATAAGCTTGGCATTTATAAAACAGTTCTGCAAGTGCTGACTGACTATTTTGCTTTCTACTGGATGAACGTCTGTGTGTATACATACATATGTATAATGGTACATACATTTGTATGTATAATGGTACATACATATGTATGTATACCTAGTCCTGGTCGTCGTCTTATCGAACGATAGTAATTCAAAACTAGTGGCCTACTTAGAGGCGCTGCAGCAAGCAGACACAGATAGGATCGGATATGAGTGGCTGTGTGTGTGTGTGTGCATTGTTGACAAGGAAATAGTGGCAGCGAGAGAGGTCGGCATGCCGAATAAAATTATACACGCGCGCAGGATCTTACACAAACACACAGAGACCCACACACATACGCACGTACAAGTATTGCTGGTTTTAAGGTTATGAAGTCAAGTGTATTGGCTCAGTTCGTAATGAAGTGCATACGAAGCGCTTGGAAATTATATGAATTATATCCCACACATACGTGTACACAGCTTGTAAGACTTTCTCGTAAACATTTTCATACAATATGTAAGAGCGCACACGCACACAAAAACACCCGCTTTTTGGCTCATATTGCGAAGCGATTGCTTATGCGATTGTGTAATGCAATCAGTTGCATTGTGTTATCTGTTTCTGTTTGGTTGACGTGTGTTGTTTTTGTAAGGGAAAATATTATTACTTAGTGGTATAATTCCGTTTAAGGTCAATTGCGCTGCAGAACGCACCTTTATTTTTGCTACTTCGCGGTGTAGAAAATATTTGCGTTTCCTTTTAGCCATTTTTATTCCCAAGCGTTTGCTAAAATAGTCTGCAGCATTGACTTAAATACAAATAATAATTGGCACAGTGAAACTTTTCTCTACCGAGAGTTAAAATTTTTGCGGAAAAATATATATGTATAATAATTTGTATGAAAAAACTACATATCCAAAGCAAATTATTTTTTAAATGGCAACCCTAGACAAAAAGCGCTTTGTGTTTAATAATTTCTTAAATCTTTAGGTTTAAAGTAAGTTTAAAAAAATGTTCGCGGTCTTATTAATTTGTTAAGACTTGCCTTAGGTGGCAAATCAATTTTTTTTATGTAAGTGGAAATTCAATTTTATCCGAAGTCGGTAAGGAACAACTACACAATGTAGTCTACGAAAAAAAATGTCAAGGCAAAGAAGGAGAAAACTGCAGCAAGGTTTACATTGGCACAACGAAGAGATCGCTTGGAACGAGAATAAACGACAAAAACTAAGCTAGACGCCAAAAACAACAAGAGTACCACAGCATTAGCGCAACACCTGACGGAAAACAAACATACAGCTGATTTTGACAATGCAAAGGTTTTGGACGTGGAGAACAGAGCGAGAAGAAGGATGACATTAGAAGGGTTGCGCAAACAACAAAAAATAACTGAAGCAATGAACTTCAAAGAAGACGTAGAAAATAAACTGTGCTTATGCGACTGCAATTACACACAATGTCTGAGGTTTGACGATGAAGGATGTGCAGTGTTGTTTAACGTGTCTTAATGTTTTTAAATATGTTTAATTAATGTTGTGATAACTTTATTGCTTAATATTAAAGTAAGTAAGTAATTAGTGTAAAAATATTTTTTATTGTCTTATTTGCTCCTTGTAATAATTATTCGTTATTATTATGTTTTTCGTATTTAAAAATATATAGACTCCCTGAAGAAGACGCGAATATGCGTCGAAACGCATAGGAGAAGAAATAAACACTTGTTTTATTCAATATAACCGGCCAAAAAGCTCCAAACCCTTCTTCAAATCCAGCGGGCGAGAAAAGCCAAATTTATCAACCAAAGGTAAAGAACAAAGAGAGCTGAATTTTGGATACCTGCAAAACTGATACTGCAAATAGAGTGACGTTGAGTAAAACGCTCGTTCATCTTGAGCCGTTCCAGACTAAATGAGGTTTTAGACCTAGACGACCTAGTATCGTGCGACTTCTTCAATCTGATATTGAAAAGTGTAATACGTGCTACCTTCGTGCCGAGGAAATAGTAGCAACCCAATAATGTGAGCTAGGAGCCTAACCGAAAAATCTCACGTGACGTGGTACCTGATCGACGAGTACCGAAGAAGATGGAATGACGAACTCTATGAATCTTCTGTTGAAAAGATCATACGGCACGTCACGAATGGGATGACAACGAAAACGAGGACTCCAGCGAGCACAATGGAAGGAGCAAGTGAAAAAGAACCTCTCTACACACTGAGCCAATTTCGCGAAGAAGAGAGTCAATTGGCAAAGTTTTTTTTTGGTCTCTACCCAAATCAACAAACCATTGTAGTGCTAGAAAGGAGAAGA